CCCCCCCCACACACAAAAGATACCAAAACATGAAAGAGCCAAATGTTTCCTGAGACGAAGATAAATCTCTGTATTAATTCTCCTTTAACTGCCCCCCCCCCCACGTTTGGGACCTCTTTTTTTCATTTTTCCTGACAACACAAGTTGAGGCATCACTGGAGCCTAAAATGAAGCCGACGGCACTAAAACAAATATATTAACAATTTTTTAATACTATCTGTGTATCTGCCATGTAAGCCAGGCGTGGGAAAGACCGGAAAAGTATAAGAGAAAGTGCCAGCCCTGAGGTACAAATCTAACTCCTTTAAAATCAGGAGACACTTGAATTGTAGGGGCAAGCTGTCCCTGAGTCTGACCCATTTTAGAGTTCACACTGGACATTCCCATTTCTACAACATAACATGTACCAGGAAACTAGATCACAAGCCAGATTCTCAAAGTAAAGTGGAAAGGATGAATTAGTGATTCTATCAGAACATACTTGAAATTAACTAAATATACCTCATAGTATTGTTATTAGGGCTGTTAATAAAGACGAATTAACATGCGTAGAGCTCTTAGCTCCAAATGATTCATGGAATGTGCAGTGGAGGCACGAGGAGTGAAAATGATTCCAAAAGACCCCAAACTTCAGAGCCATCACAGAGGAGGAAGTGTGCCTTTCCCAGCTCCCCTGGTAATCTGGGCCACAGGTTACCCATTGCCCCATGTGCCATCTTTTCTACAACTACTAAATTTTACAATTCCATGAATCTGAAAAGAATAATTCATTTTTTAAAGGCTCCCACCTTCTCCAAACATTGCTAAATGAGAAAATAAACACTGAGAACTGGATATCAAGTTAGAAATGCTCTGGGTTCTTTCTGCGCCCGATGTTTGACAAAAGCAGCGTGCAAATTAGGCACGCAATATTTCACACACTCTCTTGGTGAACGAACGCTTCGTGTGGTGCACGGAACTATCAATCTTAATACGCAAAATCCACAAAGACCTGACTTAACTCTCATTTGTGTTCGTTTCAGAGACTCCAGCACAGTGCCAAACCTGCCATATGCCCCACAAAGGGTATCCAGAGTTCAATGCAGTGTTTTATGCTGGTGTCCATTTATTTTACAGATTGAGTTACCACGCTTCGCCATTAGAAATATTGAAAATTGAAACCTTTTTGCTCTTTGCCAATTAGAAATCAAATCCAAGTAATGGCATTTGTGACTGTGCAATAATCACACCATTAGCCCCATTTCATGGCTAGCAACTGGCTGCTAGGAAAACAGCAGTTGTATACACCCTGGTGCACCTCACTCTCGGCCAGCCGGGGAGGATGTTAATCCGTCCATCTGAAGATGGCCTTTGAGGAAGGGAGCTGCAGAGGATGAGCCCAGAGTGCTATTCTTTGTTGCTTTCCCCAAAGCTTCTCTTACCACTGTTCTACTCAGGCACGTGCATCCAGCTTAAGGCATTGGCCAAAAAGTTAAACTAAACTAAAATAAACCACCCACTATGTAGAAGCAAAGCCACGTAGTTATAAACATGATATTTTCAAAAGAATGAAGAAGCATCTGCATTGGGAAATTTAAACCAATGCTGAGTACACAATGAAGCCGCACCACAAAAGCTCTGCCCTTTACAGCAATCGCCAGTCTAGACAGTTTGCCTGTGAGCTCTTAAGTAGGTAACAGAGAGTGCCCGGCAGTTTTAGGGGATTATTCCCACCAAGAATATGCGCCACACCACACAAAGGCTCCCTCACCTCAGCTACACATTTAGCTAAAGAACCAAAAAGCCACACACTGTGTACCAAGGGAAACAGAAATTAAATACAAGGGGTTTTCCCCTCCTTTAAAGAATTTCTTTTGAGAAGCACAAAAAAAGGCGGCTTCACTTAAAACCCCCAACCATAAATAAATAAGACCTAACTAAGATCACATAATATTGTCCTTGAGTTACAAAAGTCGGAGGTATTTAAACAGGCTGGTATAGAAAGGATTTTAACTCATGCCATTTCTGCTGTTTCACACTCTTAATTTCATCACACAAAAGGATGAAGGACATAAAACACACACACACACTCCCCGCAGGGACACACACGCACAGACACACACGCACACAACAGGTAATGTGCAACTACTTACTTTTCTTCTTAAAAAGTTTAATGAAAGACTTAATCTTCGCGTTAATGAAGACCACCATTTCTAGGACGCTTACATAGGGCTTAGAAATTTAAATCACATTAAAAGCTCAGTCCAGGAGGCAGGTGGCAGGCTGCGTCCTTCTGCTCCAGATTCTAACTTTCCTTCCTCTGGTCTCATATCCTCGGACATCTGCCCAGGCTGATTTAACTTCGAGGTTGAGCTTATTGTCAGGCAGTTACAAACCATTAACAGTCCTTGAACCTGAAAAACTCCCCCTGAAACCTAATCTTTAAGGCTGAGAGCAGCCAGTGACATCGTGCCACAGAAAGAAAGAGAAAGCCAATCACGGTTCTTATTTGCATGAAAGCCTGAACATCAGGCTTTCTACTTCCCTGCCCATTCATTCACTTTTCTTTCCAACGGATCAGAAGTTTCTCCTCTCTGAAGTCCACAAAAATAGTGCAGATTTTCCTCTATGGAAGTCGAGATGAAACAAACATGTTCCTCATTTCACTATGCCACTGTGAACTTCTAGATCTTTTTACAGGAACTAACAAGTCTGAGAGCAATGCCTGTGAATTCAGAGTGCAGAAGAGTTGAATTGATGGGGGGGGGCAAACTATTGTTTCCCAACCACGCCCCTAGGCTCTGCCTCCCACACCAAGGACACACCAGCAGTAAAATTTCAGAATAGAATCTCCAAGGAGCTGCAAAGGGTGACTTGGTTGCATTTTTGTGCAAATTACAATGCCCCCGTCTTCCAACCCTTCATTGCCAGTGATTGAGAATCAGCATTGCGTGTTCTAAAGTGTGATGTGACATGCCCTGTAGCTGCCGCAAATCTCAAAAAAACAAAAAACAAAACACACAAAAACCCTAAAAGAATCCCAAAACTACAACTTTCTCATTCCAAATAAGAAATTAGATAAAGTATCCTGATCATTTTTAATCTTTATTTTAAATGTAGCTATCACTTTAACATCCAGTTTTTAGAGTTACACAATCATCCTCCCCTTGTAGCAGTCTCAAACAAACACTGCTTGAGTTACTCTTTAACTTGAATATACTGTATGGAGCTACCAAGGTCTCCTACTGTTGCCCATAGAGTACTGAGAAAAAAACAAACAGAGACGGAGAAATCAGAAATGGGCATTGGAGAGCTATACTCCAGGACAAAGGGATAGGAATAAAAAGAACACAGATCAGGAAATACCACAAAGAGACACAGGGGGAAAATGCTTCTCATATCTCACCCCAGTTCCACTCAGGGCCAGTTTTAAAATGATTTAGACAGCCTCTTATATCATAGGTTTGGGCCAGACTTATAACTGAATGGAAAAATGTAATAATCCACTAATTCAAAACATCGAGTTTGTAACAAAGGTGCTTAGTCAAAAAATAAAATGTATATAAGGGGCTATGTCTAGGGAAAGGTTTGGAATGATTCCTCCTGAAATCTTTTTATCCCCTTAATTTTATTTTTTGAATAACGAAAGCACGCAAAAACATAAAGAAAATAGAAATCTTACCATATCACCAGGCATATTATTACAGGTTTCCAATTTGTGTCCTTTGATCTTACATCCAGCGTTAAAGCAAATAAATTGCCACATGGCAAATAGGAATCAACTGAGACTGTGCGTTAGATTATATAGCTGCCTTAAACTCGTGGGCAAAGTCCCCTTTTGGAAAACAAATTTATCTGTAAGAGTGACCTCACTCTGCTCACTGCATTAGAGACAGGTGGCCTTCTGGGCAGAAGCTCTCTTATTCACAATCCGCAAGTGTTGGAGGTTAAGAGTCACCATGCACACTTTCAGTTGAAAACAGAAACTGTTATTTCAGGGAAACAAATCCCAAATACACTCAATCCTCTCCCAAGCATGTAGTACACAGATTCAAAAACAATGTACTCAATGATGGTATCCGAACATAGATTCCTTCATTGAAAGATAAATGTTGAGCACCTATACTGTGTCATTTTTTTCATTCAGGTCGGATATACCACTGGACAAAACAGGTGAGGTCCCTGCCCTCATGGAGCTTACACTTTGAGACCGTAAGTACGATTGCACAGTACACCAAAAGGTGATAAGTGCGATGGACGAAAGAAAATAGTCGAACAAGACCAGACAGGGGTTGAGTGTGGTAGGGTGGCCATGT